TGTTTGCTCCAAAATTCGATTGATTTTTGGGGGTCGGGGGGGGGGGGGCTAGATTTCAACTGATTCTACAGGAAATTCAAGCTGTATATGGGCATCTTAATTTATCTCTCTCCCCTTTTTATTTTCCCTTTTTTTTTTTCCTCCTTTCTCTCTATCGCTCTCCGGCTGGCCGGGCTCTCTCTATCGCTCTCCGGCTGGCCGGGCTCTCTCTATCGCTCTCCGGCTGGCCATTGCCGCTCTCTCCATCGCTCTCCCGCTAGCATTCTCTTTATCACTCTCCAGCACACACAGATTTTTTCTTAATATCCCCCCTCACCACCACCATCATTCCCTCTTGCTCTCATTCTGTCTCTCGCTCTGTGTGTCTCGCTTATGGTTTTTTTCTGCTTTCCTATGTCTGATTTTTTTTCCATCTTGCCATTGTGATCCCACTGTCTCTTGTCTGTCTCTCCTCTACACTCTCTCTCTCCTATTGTATGTGGTTTATCTCCCCTAGCCACAGGCTAGAACTTGTTTTTCCTATTCTCTGTCCTCATTGTCTTCATATAATTTACAGCTGGGTTTGTTATTCTGGTTTGGTTTTCCGCCCCCTCCCTTGCTGCCTTTCTTTTCTGTGTCCTGTACTCTTAGCTCTTTACTAGCATCTCCCATGATGCCGTCACCCTTACACAGAGCCCCTATGGCTTGTCTTCCCACACACTGACTGAATGATGTGACAGGAGTTATTCAAGCATGCCTGATCACAGCGCTACAGATCCGCATAGTCTGCAGGAGATGGAGGAGGCTGGTCATTTCTCAATAATGGATGTGTTTGTAATGGTTTTATGTCCACGGTTATTTATCATTTTTATTAACACCAGTTTTGTTACATCACAATTATTTATTTTTCCTTTTTTCCAAAACATTTTATTAGATATAAACAGAGTCACAATGCAATTACAGTATGATATATGTACATTTTTCACAATTATTTATAATGGCTGCTGACTTCATATAAATCCTTTGCTAGTGTTTTTCTGTTTTTGTTTTGTTTTTTATTTTATTTTTTGCTTCTGATATCTCAGACATATGAAGCCAATAAGTGACTTTATCCACCAGATTCCAACTGAAATGTAATTTTGTGGATGAATTGGACAATTTCATGTTAATCTTGGTCCTATCCTTTTTAAGTAGATGTTATCCTACATCTATATGGCATTCAGCTTGCTAAAGCACCCTGTATCATAATCAATTGTCTTTTTTCATACTTGTTTTCACTTTATCATCCTTTGTTGCATCTACATGTTCCTGATCTCCTGCAGCTACTTCCTTTCCACATTTACTCCATTCATTGATGGATGCATAGCAAATCTCAGAGCAGGTTTCTGATGGTGACAACAGTTTACCATGCTTGCACAATGTGTTGGCATGGCTGCTTGTAATCTCCACCGGGGTCAAATGTGAGAGGGTGACAGCACAGTACCACATGAGACAGGGACAGAGTGTTGTCACCCTATAACAGGAAGTGTCTGAACAAGGACCTACATTACGTGATCACCAGATATGATCTTAGTTAAAGCTGCAAATAGACTCTATGGAATATAACTTTTAAAACTCCATTAATATGTTAAAGATTATATAAGATTTCAGAAATTGAGTTTACCTTTAGTTTATCTCATACTCTTTTGTATCTATTTTATTTTCAGCCACTGACGACATAGTGAAGGTAGAGGTTTGGGATGTGGTCGATAAAGGTGAGTTCTTCTTTTACCAGGTAACATTCTTATTTTGGACAGTGAAGTTTACTTAACCCAGGGGTTCACAAATTAATATGGAATACAGGGACTAGTCTGTCCAATCCAGGAGCCAGCAGGATTTTTGGGGAGCCAGCTTAATTGACAATAACTAGAGAAAACATAATTGGCTACTTGGCTCCTGTCCAGCCCTGACTTAATCACTTGAGTCCACAGGCCTTTTTATCCCCAAATCGCTTTGAGTTCCAGAAATTGTTTTTTTAGTTTTGGTGATGACTTGGTTCTGCACATTGTACCTTTTTATCTTTTGTAGTCTACCCCAGCCTTTCTAAACCATGGTGTCCCACTTGTGTGCCTCCTGGCCTCCCCAGGGTGCCTTCAACATTTTGTGGTAGTGGGACTGTTATGTGAAGGGGGGAATGAAGACTGAGGCGAAGTGGGGCTCCTGATGTAAAAGTGGGGCTCCTGATCCAAAGGGTGACTCTGATGTGCAAAGGAGACATTTTGAGTTGAAGGGGGCACTTCTATGTCAAAGAGGAAACACACTTTTTTGTGTGTGCATTGTCTATGACACATTTTAGACTGTGGTGCTTCGTGATTTTGCATACTTTTAAAGGGTGCCATGACTACAAAAAGTTGAGAAATACTGGTTTAGCCTACAGAATCCTACCTATATATTGTTATTTTTGGAATGGATAGCGCCTACTTTGGCAGCCAATTTGGATAGATATTTTTATTATTCTAGTTTTTTATTGGGAAATTAGAAAAATGCATTTTCCTGTAATTTTCCCCCAATGCAACCCCCTTTTATATTTACTGCAAAATATCATCAACAAATTCTGCTGATTAAAATGTCACATTAGTGCAACTTTTATGTAACTTCATAATGGTAAGTGAAGGTATGCATTTTACTTTGAGAGCAGCAATCCCTTTTGACAATACATTGCAACACATGCAGGGAAAAAAATTATATAGAATATATAAACACACACTCTGTAAATTCTATAAATGAAGGGGCTGGATCAGTTAGTGTAGACCAGATTCAGTCTCCTGTGTAACTGTGCAGCAAGACAACATAATATAATCGATTATAATCGATTATGTCGATTAGTTGTTGCAGCCCTAATGTCCAGGCCCCCTCCACTGATAAAAATCAGCTGCAAAAAATATATGTAAAATGTACCTTCCTACACTCTTACCGCCTGAGGTGATGTCACATTTATTCTGGTGATCCAGTGCAGCCCAAATCTCGCAAATAAGCTCTTGTAATTGACTGTCTTCTCACGAGATTGTTAACATCATGCCAAGCAATGTGGAAGATGAGGGTAAGATCCTAAATTTGCAGCTTTCCCCAGGTCTTCTCATGTATGCCACAATACCCATTCTGCCCCGTGGAGAGTACAAGATTGTCAGGGAAGGAGGGTGTTACATTGTGTGTGTGTGTGTATTTTTTATCTTTTCATTATTTATGTTCAGGACTAAGGATTAACCAGATGGAGCTCTATACAAGAGCAGGATGAAATGGATGTCTTCTGCAATTGTGTAAGGGTTTATTTATTCCATTTGTATTTTTCAGGGAAAGGCAAGAAGAGAGGAGAGGGTGGACTGAAGCTGGAAAATGAGCCTCAAGAGGTGAGGAGTTCAAGGTTTCTGTTATCAATTACTTTGCAAATAAGCAGCACATACTTTTTACACGTCTGACCATCAAGGTCCACACCTGTCCAGAACATGCGATATCCAGTGTTTGTGTAACAGTTCCTTGCAGTCTGCTGTTCTAGAGTTGTTATTTTTGGTTTCTGATATTAGTAAGGTAACGGGGACTTTTATTTTATGATTGGTCGAATACAAGACACTTGACTTGGACCCTTTGGACGTGCTGTCACCTAGTCTACATTTGAAGAAGGCATGTGTATGTGGATGTCAATGGTTTGTGCTTTTCTCTATCCAGGGGGACTCTGACCTGGCGCTGGACGCAGAGTTTTTGGATGTTTACAAGAACTGCAATGGAGTGATCTTGATGTTTGACATTACCAAGCAGTGGTATGTGTTTTTATCATGTTCTATGCTTCATCATTCGCCCTTCTGCCTTTTGCAATTACGTAATAGGTCATTATAGTTTTCACTTATTTTCCAGATTTATAAGGTGCCTACTGTAGAGCTGTACTAAGTAGTCTTAGTCTTAAGGTGCCCATACACCTTACGATTATCGGACGAAACTTTTCGTCCAATGATCGAACCGTTGTACGATTTTCATACGACGGCCCCATCTTGCCCCGATTATCGCAAGGTCCAATTAGCGGTAGTTAAAAAAAACACCTGGACGACTTGCGGTAATTGACCGCAATTGTTTTCGTTTGCACATGCGCAGTGTTAATCGTACGACTTTTGACGGACGGAAACGCCACCAACCATGCGAACATCGTACGATCTAGCAAAGTTTTCAAACATGCTTGACCGTCAAAAGTCGTACGATTGTACAGTACTATCGGTCGGGCACTCTATTCACACATTACGATTGTCGTACGAAAAGTCGATCGCATACGATTGTCGTACGATAATCGTAAGGTGTATGGGCACCTTTTACATCTCCATCTTATAATGATGCTTCACACACACACACACACACACACACACACACACACACACACACGTTAACAACCTTTCGGTATGATTTGGGATCACAGGAGGAAATTAGAGTATCCAGAGGGTATCCACATGAACACAGGGAGAATGTACAAAATCTGTACATTTAACATCCCTGATAGGCTGCGAAACAACCATGCTAACCCCTTCCGCTGCAATGTTGTCTTTTGTTGGGAGACTTAGTTGACAAAATCCATAAGCAGGCAAGATAACTAGTTTAGACTCCAAAGTATGGTTAACTGTGTTTAAAAATGGATCTATACTCAAGTGTTAACAAAAAGATTAACGCTAGCGTTTTATTGCGAATTTGAATAGCATGTGAAGAGTTGAACCTTTGTCAGGCTTTTATTGCTTTCTCTAACCACTTCCTTTCTCCAGTCACCAGGACAGGAAGTGAGGGAGATGTCTCCATCTGAGGCACAGACGGCAATAAAAACACTTTACCTTAATACAAATTGCTGCGGCAGAGCTCTCAATCCACTTTTGGTCTGACAACCAGAAGCTTAGGCCTTTGCATACAGGATATCTTCTGGGGGGGAAGCTCCAACTGCTCTGGTTTCTTCACTCCTATTCAATGGACATATGTCTAGTATGTGGCCTGCAGTGGTAGGACATTTTTGTAGTTATTTTATTAATGCACCCCAATTATATTCTTACAGTTTTTAATAGAGGACAGCAATAATGTGCACTCGTAAGGCTCAATTTACAAAGCTTTACAACCAGCCATGTAACTATAAATCTTCAAATCTTACTGGACTTAACTGAAAATAACTCACATTTTCAAAATGATTAAGAATTCCAATCATGATGTGTTAGCTTTATTTATTGAGCCTCTGGTCTCTAAAAAGTGCTAAACTGTGATCTGACATTGAAAACAGGCACGTAGTGATGGCTCGGTGCTTCAAGATGGTTAGCATAGCTCTATGGTAACATTTGAGAATAGCTGGGCTTCAAGAACCCACTACTTTCCAAGGCCCTAGAACCTGTATTGGCCCCATATGGGCCCAACTATGTGATTTAAAAAGTATGCTAAAACTACCTTAGTACAGCAAGTAATCCAGTAATAGAGAGATCACATGTCACAACTTTATTATCCATCTTCCTTAAGACCAGTAGGCTATAAAATTGGTGGTATCAGGGAGGTGTGGGACCTCAGTTTACCTATGAGTAGATGCCCCATCAATCAGATGTTGGTTGCTGTAAAGATACTTCACCTCTTTGGGTTCTACCATCGAAGAACATTGTGGACAGCACTTACTCTTCCTCAAATCTTTGTGTGACCGAGACCTGATTCTCTGCCCTGTTGGGTTTTTAGGACATTTACCTACATTATGAGAGAGCTGCCCAAGGTACCAAGCCATGTGCCAGTGTGTGTCCTTGGCAATTATCGTGACATGGGGGAACACCGCGTCATCTTGCCCGATGATGTGCGGGATTGTATCCAGGGCCTTAACAGGTGAGAGGAGTCGTGGGATGTTGCAGACATTTTTTGTTCGTTTCTTCTGCTCTTATTTTTACACACAGATTTCATGTTTTTAATTGAAATGCTAAAAGGCAAAGTATAGTTTTTAGAGTGAGTGCATGCATTGAGGTATTACTGCAACAGTTATCCAAAAATAAAGTTTGGATGACTTTTTCATTTTAATATGCTTACATGATTTTATTACTGGTATAAATACAGTTTTGTTGATTAACCACTCGAGGACGTTTTCTTGCTCACTGCATTGGCACATGTCAAGTAGTATAACCTCAATGAAGATATAGAAAGTTTAGTACACACATTTTCTTCATACAGACTATAGAGACATGTGTCACCGCCTCAGAATGAACATGCATGCTCGAGGTCAGTATTTCCAAGTACTGAAGCCAGAAACAGACAGGCATTTAGTATTTTTTAAGAAGTGGTCAACAATAACAAGCTTTGTGTTTCTTGCACTACAAGTTTCCTTTTGACTGCATAAACTTGCATTGTGAGTAGGAGCAGTAAAGCACAACCATTGTGTAGCACTGCAAAGCAGGAAACGGAGCCCCTTTTTATAATAACGGGCCAATAGGAATATAAAGGGAAGGGTCGAGCAAGCTTTGTCACTACCGGGAAAGAATGGCCCAGCATTTCAACAGAGTGGAGGGACTGAAAACTTCAATTGGTATGATCATGCACATGTTATATCTCGGCATATATATTTCTTGTTTGTTACCGAGTTATTTTAGGTGCAGTTTCTCTGTGTGGCATTAGCTATTGTTAGATTAATGTTGCTCTCTAAGGTTGCTCCTTGACTTAAGCATCAAATATAAGACAGGGAAAGGCTTAAAAGCAACCTGCCAAGAAACAGATGACTTGTTTTTGAAACTGTAAGCTCCAGTACTGCCATCTTTAACCTTGTCACTACCTGATAAGTCACCAGTATCAGTACCCCAGATAAACAGAGGAGCGTACTTGGTCAGTTACTTGACAAGTAGCGAAACAGGGGAAATTATGACAGCCCAGGAGACTTCACGCTCAAAAATAGGTCATAAGGGCCATATTCCTTGACAGGTTACCTTCAAAATGATTCTATAACCTTATTGTTGAACAAAATCATGCACAAGCCTTTCCCTGCCCGTGTGCATTGAACTGGAGCATTCTGGGTGTGGAACTGTGATATGTCTGGCCCATAAGTTGCTCTTTTCCTCTGTCTGATCCTGTTCACTGCCTGCTATGTTATCAGGTGCTATGTTTTATGTCTTGCTTATCCTGACCTTGGAGATTGCTGCATTGGATGACCATCCTCTCTCTTGTCCTCTGCTTCTCTGTACAGACGACCCGGCTCTTCCTATATCCGCTATGCTGAGTCTTCCATGAAGAACAGCTTTGGGCTGAAATATTTGCACAAATTCTTTAACATCCCTTTCCTTCAACTCCAGGTGAGACCATCCTATACCTGAATGCCTTATACCTTCGCTTTATTCTCTATGTCCCACCTAAAAGACATCATGACCTGCTTTATGTTCTGAACCGTTTTTTCACCAGGCTCTGAGTACAAATTGCAGACGCATCTCACCTAAAATACATGCGTTACATATTTAGTAGCGGTTTCCTTTTCCTCACTATAAATTAGAATTCGATTTTACATTGTATCACTTTCTTTTTTTTATTTTTCCATATTGTGTACATTTTATTTTCCTCCAAAGTTTTCCTTTCTTTCCATCCATTTTATTTTTTTTATTCACTTGCTTTTTCTTCATTTTTGTTTTTTGCATTTCTTTGTTTCTTGTTTTTTTCTTTTCTTACCTGTTAATGTTCTCCTTTCCTTCATTTTCCTGGTGTAGCTAAACCAAAAAATTTAATATATTGCATCTTACAGGTCCTTGAATGTGGTGGCTGCATTACTTTTCTTTTTTCATACTTTTTGTTCCTTTATTTTCACTGGCGAGCCTGGTATCTATGAGGGACAATGTTGTCACCTAGGATGGGAAGTGTGTTAGGACAGCAGATATCGGCTCACTAGATTTCTGGCAGGATCAACGGGGATTCTGTTTTGCATTCATGAAATAGATATTCGCAAACCCCAGGCACTTCTCAAGCCAATTGGGAAATGCCAACATTGCAGGATACCAGAGTTGCAAGTTAAGTAGGACGGATAGCTGATTAGCTGCAGGCACTGTTTGGACAACAATTTTCCAACCAGCTCCATCAAAAAAGAAGAAAAATTGACTATGTTTGAGCCAGGTTGTTCCTTCAGGGGCTGCCCATGTAACAAATTCCAGATGTATCATAAGGAAATTAACAACATTTGATCTGTGTATGGACAGCTTTATTCCGGTCACTGTTACATCCCTTCCCCTTTCAGCCTCCTACTCCAATTTAATGGCATTGCAATTGCTGATGTTTTCATTCATTTGGATGTTAGCAGACATTTGGGGCAGCACACCCACTTTATTCTACACCTGGTTTTAGAATTGATCCCCAATGTGATTGACTTCACTGATAGACAAGTGACTGGAGTTTATACAGAGTACACCTGAGATCTGCTCCCTGTATGGAGTTACATAGCCCGTTACCGGTGCAGCAACTGTAAGTGGATTTGTAAAACGATCGTCCTCTAAAGAAGTGATACATGCTCTGGCTTACTTATTAATATGTGATTGGAAACTGACACTCTTAACCCTCGTATAGCTGGAAATCTGTAACATGTTGTAGATTTCCACTTCTCGCCCTTCTGGAAAGGAAGGGGTCAAAGGTGTCCTCATTCATATTGTTAATGTAGGGAGGGGGTCTGATTGCAGGTATAGGACAATACAACATTGTTACTGTTGTATAGTATTGCATGCTTGTATTATGCAGGCAGGGTTACTGGTGGTAGGCTCTAGAGGCAGGACACCCTACGTCTGATTCTGAACATTTGACTTATGTCTTGCAGAGAGAAACCTTGTTACGACAGTTGGAGACAAATCAGCTGGACATTGATGCTACCCTGGAAGAGCTGAACGTGCAACAAGAGACAGAGGATCAGAATTACGAAATGTAGGTTACCTTTCACATGCAGTTTCAGGGGTTTTTAACAGTATGTTGTAGCTGAATAGCATTAAACACCAGGGGGTAGAGGACTTGGCTTTCACAATGCAGTGATGCTGAAGAACTTTCAGCAAGCTTAGATCTTCACCGCAGCAGAGTTTGATGATGGGGGCAGCAGGACAAGTAATATTAGCTTTCTTTGCTGGGATGTCTTCTAACTTTTTTAAATAGTGACAGTCAAATGCTGGTTTTGCATACTAGATACTAGGTGGAGATATATATATAGATATATAGATATATAGATATATATATCTTTGATCTATGGCAAAAGCTTATCTATATAGTTTTTTGCTTTAACATATTTTAGTGTATAATTTATGAAATTAAAGATTAATTTTTTTCAGTCAGGTAAATCTAAAATGATACGTATAAGAAGCCCATGTTAACCACTTTCATCCAGCAGCTGGTGGGCTTCTGTTAGCAGCAGCCTTTGGGAGGCTAATTTCCAACTGCATTGTGAAATAGACCTAATGGATGAGGTCAGATTAAACAGACTGCAGTCACAGAAGAGGGACACCTTGTCCTTCTCCAGGAGAGATGGAATCATTTGGCTTAGTGGTAAACAGGCTGCCAGCAAGCACACAAGCACTTCTCCTTCCCCACACATGGATACTTACCTTTCCTGTGCTCTCAACTGTTCACAAGCTGAAGCCCTAAATCTAATCCCTCTGTGAAGCTGGGTACACACAGATTGAATTCTAGCCATTTCAGAAGGAATTGACGGAAATTAGGGCCACCAACGGGCCAATCTCCTCAGCAAAAGTCGATCATTAGATTTACTTTTATCCAAAGGGCATGCTGGAGAAAAAGAAATTAGCTGCAAGCACTGTTGGGGTATACTAACAGACAGGCGTTGCTGTCAGAATACAAAGTACACAACAGGAAGTTCGTTCATCGTGCCCAGTTGAACGAAAAAAATATGTCCGTGTGTAAGCTCTGTGTCAGATCCAACACGGTGTGGTTGACCATCTTCGTGCTTCTTGGGAGAAATAGAAGAATCTCATATGCTCCTCTGTACCCAGAAACACTGGGAGGGGAATTTACCAAAACGAGCGTACAAAATCTTGGGCAGCTGTGCATGGCAACCAATCAGCTTCTCTCTCATTTTCAAATCTTAACTGAACAAACTGAACAGAGCAACTGATTGATGGCCATGTACAGCTGCTCCAGATTCTGTCTGCTCCAGTTTTGATAAATCCCCCCCCCGGGTATTTCCAAGGAATCCAACAGACAAACTGAACTGTTGACTCGCTAAAAACAATGCATTTTCCTTGTGGTTCATATTTTAGCCGTCGTTCAACAGAGAATAGTAGCTAATTTGTGGCCAATCTACAAATGTTTTTGCTTAGTACGATGACAAAAATTGTAAAAAAACAAGTATATCAAATTGCAAAGTCACATCCGAAATGACAATAATAACTTTAATATGTGTTTTTCCTGAAAAACAGTCCCAAGCATTTGGTAGCACGTGGTGACCTTTTTTTGACGTCTGTGTGTATGGGACTGAATTATTCTAGACACATGGAAATGTTCTGCATTTGTTCTAATTTTCTGCATGTTTTTCGCCAATCTGGCATCTGCAGGCATGCGCCGAGTCCTCCTACTCACATCGGCTTCATTAGCAAGATCATCTTCTCTCTCCATCCGCTCTGTTTCGCTATTGAGAGCTTGATGACGTCTGTAAGATCAGCACAATCTGTCAGATAAATGTTTGTTAATATTTCCTGTATGTTCCTCTCAGATTTCTAGAGATGTTGGAGAATAATAAGCGCCCAGCGTCTCCAGTTGCAACCAATGGGCAGAGTCCATCTTCTGGCTCACAGTCTCCGGTGGTCCCCATCATCTCCGAGTCTCCTGACAGCTCCGTCACTGGCACTCCACTTCAGATGCCCACTCCTACCCTGGCTGCTTCTCCTCCACCTCCAATGGCTGATGTTCCTGACGTATCTGGCCCGTCTCCTTCTACAGTGTCCTCTCCACCACTTTCCCAGCAGTCTCAGCAGAAGCGAGGCTTCATGTCAAGGCTCTTTGGATCTTCCACAACTGAGAGTCCTCCAGCCAAACCAGGTGCAGCCCTAGACCTAGCAGGCAACAATCTTTCTCTTACAGGAAAAACTGTCATGCAAGAAGTATGTAGGCTGCTGTTACTGACCTCTCTTTTGGAAAAATCTAGTTGTCTGGCTGTCATGCTGGTGCATTGTCTTCAACACTGAGTCACTGATCTAGAACAAGTAGAATTATACGGTATACTGACTTCTGGGTCTGTGTCTGTATAGCAGTGAGACCAGATACAACTGGAGAGTTACCTTTCCAGCAATTTTAGCCATGTATTTCTTTCATGCCAGGGATACATTTAACATTACAGTTAAATGCACAATTGAAACAGTTTCATTGAAACTGTTTTCCCTGCCAAAGGGTTTGTACTTCTGCCCATTCAGTCCTAAGATATACACAGCCCTGTCACACTGCACAGCCAGGGTGGTGACCTGCTTTTTCTTTATTGTGTTTAAGCAATACAGCCTGGTCAGCTCCCTGCCTCCAGCCAGTGATTGGAATGTGAAGGATCATCAGAACATTGAAGACCTAATTTCTTTGCTCTCTCATCCTGTTAGCATATATCTTGTGAGCAGATGTGCATGCAGCAGAGTCTGATTGGTTCCAAATGCTGGCCACTCCCTCTCCCAAGCTTAATGCTGCTGTATAGAGGATTGCAAGAGGCTGATACCAAGTACATTAACTGAATACAAATTTACATTTAGTGAGTCTTTTTTTAAATGAATGGGTAATTGCATTAATATGTGTTTTTCATTTGTGCCTGGAGTTCAGCTTGAACTTTCTTTGTATTTTTGCTTCTGTCCTTATGGCTGACAAAAAATATTTGGTATTTCATAGACCGGGAAAGAACTGCTCATCTTTGCTGAATTTACTATGCTTTATTTATTTGTTTTTAAACATAGCTTGCTTGACACGTCAAGGGTAACTCCAGTGAAATCATAAAAGGATAGTATTATTTTCTGTACAAGTTATATAATACTTGTTTTCATTCAGCCATGTATGGTTGCTTCAAATCTGGCTTTGCCTTCATTTGCAATTCGCCTATTAAAATCATGCTTGCAAGGGCTGTGACTTCTCTCTAAGGCTGGGCACACACCTTACAACTATCGCAAGACTTTTGTCTTGCGATGGTTGTAAGTTCCTTAAAAAAAGGTACGATCTGCCTATCTTGCATAGGCAGATCGTACTTGCGATGATCGCAAGCCACGCCCCCTGAGGGGCGGGCTTCCGATGACCGCAATGCCGAATGCGCAGTGTGTGCTTGGCCCCACCGGCCCGTACGGCTGTTATCGCACGGACATGCCACAAACCCGCCGAACATCGTACGATGCTCGGCGGGTTTTCGAACATGTCCGTAAGTTTAAAGTCGTGCAACCTTACAGTAGTAGAGGTCGCACGGCTTCCACACACACTACGATAATCGTACGATCGCGGGATTTCCCGCGATTATCGTAAGGTGTGTGGGGACCTTAAGCCAGAAGTCCTGAATTTGAAGGTTTGAGATGGACGTATACACGGGAGGTATCTTAGGGAGCACTTTGTCCGTGTGGTGAATCTAAAAGCATGAATCATTGTCAGGTTTTAGTGATGATCGTCAGGCAGACATTTATGAATGAGAAGGAAGGCCCTGAAGTTATTAGAAACGTGTGACATTTCTGATAACGTTGTTTTATGAAGAGAAAGCAGCTTGTGAATTTGTAAGGAACTAGTTATGTCGCCAAGCAGCCATTTTGCAAGGTGAGGAAGCGGTCTAATCGTTTATTAGGAGCTGGTGAGTTTCTTGGGGTAGCCTTTTTTAGAGGTCACCACACATGGAAGTATGACCTGAGAAACACTTAGAAATTCCATCACCAGATCACAAGAGGAATTTTGAAGCTTTGTTACTGTTCATTGTTTTGTTACCCACAATCCTTTGCTCTCCTCCCAGAGACTCCAACACATGCCGAGCAGCCAGTGAAGGTCCAGAGTGTGGAGGATTTCATTCCTGATGAAAGCTTAGATCGCAGCTTCCTGGAGGACGGCGCCACCCAAAAAGAACTAGAAAGACCTCCACCCCGAAACAGGAGAGACAGCGATAGGTATGTGGCTGTGTCATATTACCCACCTTGTATCAGAAAAGTACTCTATAGTAGAACTGTAAATGCCAGGTCCGTACGACGTACGTCCTTGGCAGCGAAAGGGTTAAAGCCCTATTCCACGCAAATCTTTTTATATATGCTTTAAGGTAACATAAAGGGTTAGAGCCCCAGTTAGGTTTGTATTGTATTTGGGTTTTTATTGTTGTCTGTGACTTCCTGTCCTAGTGACAATCGCTAAGTTTTATTTCTTGTAGAGATGTCACAGAGACAGAAAGTGAGAAATATCCCGCCGGTAGGGATCACAAATTGTCCCTACTTTATCCAGGAGCAACAATAAGAAGTAAGCCTCCTTTAGACAGGTGAGAGTTTAGCATTGGACTGCATTCTGGCCGGCTTCCTGCGCTCAGGGGCGGGAGGGGGCATGCCACTGCAGCCACGCCTGCGGTGCGATCTCGCACACCAGAATGCGTGGCACATCAGTGCCTGCGTTCCGCTCTAGTGCAATCTGAAAAAATGCTGCAAGCACTATTTCTGCAGATCACACTGGACCGGAATGCAGGCACTGATGTTCCACGGGTGTGGCTGCGGTGCCATTGACTTCAATGCACCGCCACGCCTCCTCCCGCTCCTGAACGCAGGAAGCCTGCCAGAATGTCATACAGTTTGTTCCAGAGGCTGACCGCTCTGGAACGCACTGTTTATGGTGTGAACCAGCCCCAAAAGGGAATGTTTTTATTCTTCTTTTTTGTTATGGTCAAAACATTGCTAAAGTCTCACCTGTCTAAAGGAGGTTTACTTCTTATTGTTGATCCTGGGCATAGAGGGTAACAGATGAGAGGGTGGAAATGAGTATGTGGGGTTAGGAAGGGGTAGTTTTTGGAGGACCACAGCACCACATGCCTGTGGTAGTAGAACACATTCTTAAGGCTCCAGGAGGCTACTATAGCCTAGGGGTCAGAATTATTGTTACCCAAGGTTGCCATGCTTGGGTGTATATTAATATTCTATCTGCCAGTTTGAATTCAGTCTTATTGCTGTATCATAGGCAGAGTTGTTCTATATTTCACCCCATAAGGCAACGTTGGTCCATTTTCATGCCCTATCAATTGCTTGTTTAGCTGCTGTGACATATGAAAAAAGCCTAAATTGGGGATTATTAATGTCTAGTGGACATTTTTTAAGAGTGCTTGGCAGGGGTCTAAAGGTGTCTCCTTGGATATCTGGCTATGGAAAACCATTAAACTTATATGTGACTGTCCAGTTCATGACAACCTCTGAAACAGTAAGGGGAAATCCAGGGACAGATTTGGCTATCCTGTCAGGGATCAGATAGCTGCGGAAGAATAATTTTAATTAGTTTCTATGGCAGCAACACTGCATTTTGTTTCCGTCGAAATCTGTTCTCAGTCCTGCTCTTTTATCGTATTATTAGGTCAGATGCCCATTTGTAGCAGTGTTGAGTAAAGTAAATAGAGGGGCGTGGGGATACAATGGGCATCTAGTTGGATTTTTATATCCAACTGACTGGGCCACTATAAATACCACTTTAGCTGAAGAATTTACTGGTTGCTATATGTTGAGGTTGCTATAGTACTAAAGATTCCCAAATACTAAAACATTTATGTGCTTGTGTTTTATTTTTGCAAAGATACATCAAGAGATCTGTTTTAAAGCCCATTTCCACCTTTTGGGGAGGTATTTTTTAAAAACATATGCCAGCAGTGTACACCAATTTATACATTAAGCAGGCATATGCCAGACAGTGTATTGTGTGTAAAGGCAGAGCTGGTGTTAAGTAATAGTGTTACACAGAATCATAGGGAGGGGGTCAGCTGCTTTACAATAAGATCCTGGTGTCAGTCTGAATTTCCTGTAGAGAAAATTTGTAAATTTTAGGATTCAGGCCTAATAGAGCAGACATTAAAAAATGAAGAAAGCCAGCAATGTGAGTCATGAAAATGGGCACATGTATACATCATCACTGCACCTTTTCATTACCACAATTAATCCTAATCGCTCACAAAGGTGGAAATGGACTTTAGGCAGAATCAAAAAGTGAGCAGGCAGTGCAAGCAAAGTGTCACAGAAGCACTGCGTAATAAATGTTTATTTGTGACCTATTATTTTCATACAGATCACATGTGGCAAGACCGCAGATCAGCCTTCCACCCACTTTTCTCAGGGGGTTTGTTAATTACTTATCTATAGTCCACCTCACGAATCTTAAAGGAGAACTATGAGGTGAGTGCTTTTCACTCACCTCATAGTTCTAGCCGACCTGTGACAATGAGACTTTCACAGGTCGGCTCAGTAGATCGGGAGGTGAGTGAACACATACCGGCGTTCGCTCACCTCTCGATCCTGTCACAGCTCTCTGCCGTGACAGGGGAGGGGCTGGATTCCCCGCTCCGCCAGCGCTGACTGGCGGAACGGACGGGGGAGGGGGCGGGTACAGCTGGCTCTGCCTCTAGATAGGCAGAGCCAGCTGTCAGTCACGCAGCTGGGCGGATCCAGACATAATTGTCGGGATCCGCTTCAGCTGCGGCGTCTCAGTATACCGCGAGCAGCAGCTCATGGTATACTGCAAGCTACAGCTCACGGTATACTGAGCCTAGGGTGACGGGAGGACGCTAGTTTGTGTCCTCCCGTTACCCTAAGGAGAACTATGGGGAAAAGCCTTAACCCCATAGTTCTCCTTTAATGTACCATTATGATCGTGATGAATTGTTTTCCCCCTTTATTCGTGTCCTTAAAAAAATATCTCTCCTTAGGCAACATTACTAAATGTATACATGTGATTTCTGTGTTTTGTGTGTTAGACATTGCACAGATAAAATGAAATCCTGATGGAAAGAATCAAACAAATGTTTTAAATCGGTCTTGAAGTGCAAAGCGAGGGATTTGGTAACATTTCAGACACCTCAGTGGTAAAACACAGATATTGGTACAGATAGATATCCAGTGATGACATTGTGAGTCATCACTGAATTCCAAAATGGCTTGGAGTACGCTATAAGCTGGTGCTTGTGTCGAACACTGACAGCCAGATAAATGGTATCTGCATCAATAAGAGAAGCATATTGTGTTACTGCAGAGTAAAATATGCAAAGTAGGTGCAGACTAGGGAAGAATGTGCACTGTGCCAACTTGACGGTATTTGCAAAGCGTTAATGGTCTGTCATTTAATGTTTTAATGCTTTAAAGGATTCATTTAATCTGGAGGAGGGGTGTATTGATCAAGTCTGGACTATGGGTGTACTAAAACTTCATTTAAAGTACATTGAAATGATCCTGTTTGACAAGTCCAAGTACAACTAAATATACTTAAAAAAAAGACTTCCTTTACCACCCCCTGTCTTAAACCCATTCCTCTTTCATTTTTGTCTCGCATACTGCCCCTTCCCAGACACTGCAGGTTACAGTGGGAGGGTTTTAGCAGAGGCAGTGGTGTCAATCCAGTAAGCAGTGGGCAGGACTAGGTGTGGTCATCTGCTGATTGGCAGGCTACAGCCTTTTAAATCCGCAGTGACAGTGAGGATAGCCACATCCGCTCCATCTTTTTCATCCCACTGTAGTGTAAGAAGGCACAGCCTGCATGAGGGTGACTATGAATTGAGAAGCAGTGCGGCAGCGTTGTCACCCCATCACAGAAGCTGCCTGGTGGATGCAGTATCAACAGTTATTTAGGAGACTATGCAGTTAGACTCAGAAAATGCTAAGTACAGCACACATTTTTTACTATGAGGACATAGTTGCTAGTTTTACAGTATTTTAATAACACAGGCCACACATAATGCAGCATGCCCACTTCTAGACTCTTCCACGTGCGTAGATAGTTGCAAGCTGTTATATGTAGATGATATGTTGTGATGTGCTACAAAGTGAAGAAAATGTTTTGTTTTTTATTCTCTCCTTTTTAACCTCTGGTTAATATTGGCCCTTATTAACTCGTTCCTCCTCTTTTTTTAACCATTAAAGTTTACAGATTTTTTTTCTTATTTAGTGTTGAAATATAAAAAGAAACAACATTTTAAAAATGCTTTTATTTTAGTCATGCTTCTTGCTTTGCACTATGAAAACTTGTGTCGCAGTGAAACAAAATATACAATTTTCACTTCAGTATCATAAGTGTGACACAGCTATTGCTGAATTAATTGGTCTATAGCTGAAATGTGGAAACTGGCTGCTATTCCAAGTATTTATTCTTTTATGTCATGTGATGTATATCCCTTGTCGTGTGACACTATTACCCCATCATGGTATGTGACTTGCACCTTCCATATTTTACCTAATTCCTTTCTCTCCACTGAATCTTTTTTTCATCTCAGTGATGTGGATGTACCTGGGTCAAATCCCATGGTGGCTGGCTTCCAGGATGATTTGGATCCTGATGATAGGGTAGCCCCGAAATCCACTCTTCCCATCATACCCAGCAAGAACATCACCCTGTCCAGCGACGAAGAAGGACCTGTTCCCTCTGTGCAAATAGCTGGAGACGAAGACATAGACTCTGAGCTATACTCTTGGTAAGTCATTTGCTGGGAACTCTCATTGCAAGGTGGCTATGTGGACATGGTATAGTGTAGCACTAAGGTGCTGGATTAAAGCCCATCTCCAGGCAAAAAAAATGTTTGTTCAGTAAATGTTTATAGTGTTCTTGTAATCCGCTTCCATAAACAACAATACATCTGACCACCTTGGCTCAAAGCTGACTGTAAAAAAAAAAATCACAAGGATAAAAACATATATAAGAAGTAATCAGTAGTGTGTGAAGATGAAGACACATGACATTAAGCAGGTATAAGTGGATGAAGGACGCAAACCACAGACAATAATTTAACTTCCTTCTGGAGAAAGGTTGTATTCCACTGTCTGGGTATATCGCCGCCACGGTTTCCAGGTGGACCAGCAGTCCAGCATTGCAGATGTGCCTGCGCCAGCTGGCATTGCCATTGGTCCTCTTTTTTGCTGCTGTCCCTCCCTTTTGGTTTGGGGAAGGGGTTAATGGGGTAGGTAGGAACCTGAAGGGGTGAGGGGAGGGGGTGTGGGGTAGGTGGGAACCAGTACAGTAGCTTAAAGTTACCAAAATAATTACCTGCATCTGGTGGCTGAACACATCTGTGTTTTCATCCAACCTACTGCTCAGAATTGAGCATCATGGGAGCTGAGCTATTTCTCCCGATCAAGATCTGCTTAGCCATGATATGCATAGTAGAAGATTGTACTTGTTATAGCCATAAGCCATAAAATAAGGCATAATGCAAGAAATAAAAAAAACTTGTATTCCAAGATGCAATAGGTGCTTCCTATGTTCTTCTCTTTTCATGTTTGGCTGACGGGCCTTTTGAATAAGTGCAGAAGGCTGGCATAGATAAGTTGTTTTTTTTAAATAATATCCTGCTTTTCCACTTAACTGAAAGTACATTAACGCCCAGCTTTACCTTTTTGTTAAAAAATAAAACATCTATTGTCCAGCAGCTCAAGCAAAAGACCACCCTGTGTATGTGAGCAATGACCACCCAAGCCCAATGAGAGGAGGAAGGACCATGGACGTCGCTTGCAGCAGTTAAACTTTGCAGCTGTGAAGAAACTCCTTTAAAATATATTGCAATATACTCTTGGCACTTCATTTCTGATCTGTTTTGTAGCATTACAATTTTGCCGGGTGGCCCTTCCTTCTCTTCCTGCAGTGAATGGCATCTGGACAGCCCTTCCTATCTGCAGCCACTACAGAGGACCAGTCATTCTGTGAATGTACAGAGAGCCTAACCTGCGGCATTGACTGCAGGTCTCTTTAGGACAGCCTCTGAGCTGCATTCTTTAATGTATGTAGTAGAATATTGATCGTAGTAATTCACTAATGGAATTTATGGCTGCTTATGTCCTGCCAGCTGGTAATATCTTGTACTACTGCACCAACATCTTGCCGGCTCTTAAATCTTTAGACACCAACACAGGAAATGGCAGTAATGATCTGTTAAAGCAATCCACAAATCTATTATATATATATATTACACTTTTAGTTTATAATAACATGCAATACATGACAAACAAACAATTCCCACAGTATTTATTAAGGGAAGAGTTACTGTTCTGATTCGTGTGTTAATTTCAGCTTGGGCTATTGAGCTCTGTACACAGGCTTTTCACAACAGATGGTACGTAGACAGCGGATTACTTAAAAAAATAAAATAAAATCCAGTGCATTGATCATGACTTGACATTTTTGTATAATTTTACCGAAAGGAATTATTAGGCTCTACTGTTCTTCCACTCAGTCATGCTGTAATTCTATATTTTAGGAAAACCTCTAAGGTCTCGGCAACTCAGACTCTCCCTGAGAAACCAAACCTAGCCCCGACCCTGGCACCAACATCTAGCAAAATCAAGAAAGCAAAAGTCAAGGTCAAAGAGAACTCAGACAGTGACCCGGAGGGTCCGATCGCCACACAAATGCTTTCCTTCGTTATGGATGACCCAGATTTCGATAGCGAAGATTCAAACCAAGTTTCCAAGTCTCAGGTGAGATGGAGACAGAGTGGCTAAAGAGAACAGATGTGCCAATAAATAGATTAATTGATTGGATGTGGGGGTGCCTTAGCCCCTCCCCTCCCATCAGATTTAATCTGCGTGGACTTGTAGAAACATGCAAGCCCAGAGATGAGCTTCAAGTAGTCATGAGAGACCAGTTGTAGAAGGCATGTCTGGAGGTGACCACATCTGATTGCAGTAGGAGCCATATTTACCTCTGTAGAATTACAGTGAATAGTGTAGAATTTTAAAATATTGAAACACTGATCAGACAGATCATTAAAGCACAACTGAACTTTTTCGTTTAAATCAGCTAAATACAATCAGGAGAATGAAAAAAGGTGTGAGTAGAAAAGCCCGTCTCCTGCTAGCACAGTGCAGAAAAGGACCCTTGCTCTCTGGAAGCAGTGGTCTCTCTGCAGAGGTCCGATACACCCCCTGTTGAGTCACAGCTAGAATTCTCCAATAAGCAGGCAACATGAGCTTTGCTGAATGGAGAGCTGTAGTTGTAACGGACTTCTGTCTAGGGACCATAGCTTCCACACAATAGATTTTTTAAGGGACAGTAATATACAGGGGTACAAGTACTCCTAAAAACGAGATCCTATAGGTTGGACTTGATGGACTAATGTCTTTTATTCAACCTCAAATACTATGTAACTATGTAACAATAGAGTAAGACTCCTCTGCTGCATGGTGGCAGCGGAGGAAAACAAATTGTATTACTTTCAGCACCTTTTCTTTTAAATCACCTAAAAAATATATTTAGTGGATTTAAACAGAAAGTTCAGTTGGGCTTGTATCTGGAGAAATATGTAGTGGGGCATTAGTAATTTAGTCTGGAAATTATTGGTTGTCATATTTCAATAGTGTCGGTAATTGCTGAGTCACTGGAATAGAACAAGTACGCAGACCAAGCGTTGAGACTTCACAGGCTGCCTACTTCTTCTGAGTCAGTGACTGTTGAAGTCAGAAGATTGCCGCGACCTTGAAGAAATGGTCAGCAGTGCCAAACTTGTATTTTCAGGCCTAAAATGTGGAATATAACATGGGTGCAAAAATTGAAAAAAGGGCCTCAGTCATGAAGGGGTTAATACTTCTTTTATCATTTTCCAACAGTATTGAGGGTAGCTGCCATATTTCTGGTAATAAAGGTTTCTGCTTTAAAGCTGATTTCCAGGCAAACCTCTAAATACACAGATGAAATACATATATGGGAGCTGTTTTGCTTGCCAACTGATTTCAGTAGTTTTCCATTCAGTTGTCAGATTTGCACAGCCAGTTAAAGTTAAAGAATACAGTGGCGTCCTCTTGTACCCGCTAACTGGGCGGTAAAGGAGGAGCATCAGACTCATGAATTCCACTTCCCACTCCCTCTGCTCCTGCTCCAATATATACGTTATGTAGCTTGCATGCAGCACTTCTGCTTGGCTTCCAAACAGGTCTATCCCTCTCCCAGTGTTGCTATACTACTGCTATACAGTAAATTGCAAGAGGCTTACATTCTTTGGGATGAATTCGAGCGGAGATTGCGAGCCAGGCCTTCTCGTCCAACATCAGTACCTGACCTCACAAATGCGCTTCTGGAAGAATGGTCAAACATTCCCATAGACACACTCCTAAACCTTGTGGACGCCTTCCCAGAAGAGTTGAAGCTGTTATAGCGGCAAAGGATGGGCCAACTCAATATTGAACCCTACGGACTAAGACTGGGATACCATTAGAGTTCATTTGTGTGTGTAAAGGCAGGCGTCCCAATACTTTTGGTAATATAGTGTGTGTGTGTGTGTGTGTGTGTGTGTGTGTGTGTATAGCTGCATGCATTCATTTGGTTCTTTTACATCTTTCGGTTTACCTTTAAGATTAAAAAGAAAGATGTTTTATTATTGGCTTTGTTGTGTGTGTTTTTGCAGGATTCGTTACCAGCGCTGAATAACTTGTCAGACAGCTCCAGTGAAGAGACCATGTCCTCTCGTCCTTCGGAGTCAGTAAAGCCCCCAGCAACCTCTTTTAAAATCAGAGAAGATGATCTGTTTGGTTTGGGGTTTGTGGAGAAAGTGTCTAAGGACAGTGAGGAAGGTAAGATGTAATCTGCATGTGCTTACATAAATGTGACTATAAACTTTGCAGTGTGGCCTTGTCATTTTTACTGACCGCATAAAGTACATAAAACATTGCTTTAGACCTGGCATTTGGCGTAGACCCCACATTTGAGTTTACAGTACTCAGCCATCACTGCTGTGACTCCCTTTTCAAAAGGCTCAAACAGTTCCAATCAGACAAAGGGTGCTGCAAAGCACACACCACTTGCATTGCTGTCTCTTTTTAACTAATGCATGCATGGAGCCCTGGGAACATTTGTCATTTATGAAATGTTTATTTGAGTGTCTATATTTTAAATATATGAATCTTCTCTCCTAGATAAAGACAGTAAGACAAGCAAAGATAAGAAGAAAAAGAAGAAGAAGAGCAAAGAGGTGACATAAGCTATAACTGAAATAGAGCACTAATTCTGATTAAACCATTAGGTCTCTGCTGCCTTCACTTTGTAGAATCCTTGTCACTGTTATGTAAGACTGCAGGCAAATAACAAGCTGCCATGACTGAGACCCATCATCAGCTTCTACTGACCTCTGACTGTGATTTGAACTAGGCAGATTTCATTTTATAACCAATTCCACCCAAAGTGGGGAAGAAAATACCCTCCATTTGTAGACCTAATTATAGTGTCAGTATCCAAGTGTCCCTGTGTGCTTGTTTAGCATAACATTATTCAAAGTGATGTCAATCATAGTCTGATAGAAGCATTGGAGTGAAACCTAGCGAGTCGTTTAGGTTGTGCAGAGATAGATTTTGGAATATTAAATGTTTCTTGAAAATAGATTATTTCGGCGTCGCTGTTGGGTAGAACTAATGGGCAAAGTGTCAAGTTCACTTTAAGGCTGAACCCCAAAGTGCTATGTGTACAAGAATTGTTTAACCTACCAAAAGAGTTGTAATTCTTTTCAGTCAGTCTTGTGCCCCACCAGGTCCGGCACTCCCTCAAATTGGCCCGGTATTAAACAAATAAGTTATAATATCTTCTGTGTTTTTATAATCCCCTGAGTGGACTTGATGGACTAATGTCTTTATTCAACCTCAAATACTATGTAACTATGTAACAGAATCTGGGGAGCAGCACCACTGTAAGCAATTGCCAGTGCTTTCCACTGGAGGATAGAGCAGAGTGCTGATCTCATCATTGTGCTGCTGCTTGTATTATAATTGCCCAATCACAGGCTGGGGTGGGTCCTAGCCCGGGCTGTATTAAGCAACTGCAGTCGGGCAGTGTAGGACTTGGCTCTATTGTCTGGTAGGGTTTGTCTGTTTTGTTTGTTTTAACACGATTTAGCTATGGATTTTTTTAATGTCCTTTCTCCAAATCATGCTTCAAATTGTTTACAGTGGAGTGTGTGTCTTTTTGTTCACAAGGATTTTTTTTCTTTCTTTACTGTCAGGCCCCAGAAGAAGAAAAATCAAGCAAGAAAAAGAATAAACACAAGAAAAGCAAAGACAAAGAAGAGGAGAAAGAGGAGAAGAAGAAAAAACCCAAGAAGACAAAGGAAAAAGATGAGTTTGACGAACTGGAGGCCTTTCTTGGTGGAGGTGGTGGAGCAGTTCCAAGCCTGCCACGCTCAGGTGGGGAATACGAGGAGCTTTAGGTGGTCCATCAAGATACTTGCTCATGCTCCTTTGTGAATCCTGATCCTCTGCCTCCCACACCACATACTTCTTGTAGAGCAAGCAAAACCTTGTTCTTTTGTATGCTGGCACCCCCAGTGGGGAGTACTAGAGTTAACAGGTGGAGAAGAACTATTGTCCAACCAGACTTTCATCTTCTCCTCAATCTCCTTCTCCATGGATCATGTCTCCTCACCCAGGGCTCAGCTAAGGAGAAGAACGTGTACGCTTGGGTGGCAATCACACTCAGGAGGAACCTATTTTTATCACCCACTCAAAAAGACCTTCATCTCTCTCTTCTCATGAACCAAACTAATAAGTAGAACGTTGCATGAATTTGTAACGGTTATCACCAACAGGAGTGAAGAAAATTAACCGGAGTAACTGGATGGTTGTCCGTGATAATATACTTTACAAACCAAAAACACAAAATTTGCCGCTCTTCACTATACCACACGCTGCTTGAAAACTCTTTGCACTTCCACATAACACTTTGGTCTAACTAGTGAACTTGCCCGGTCCTGAATGGACTAATTCCAACCTTTGGTGGCCCTCAGAAGGGCCAAAGTCACTTTTACCAGCATGTATATGACCACAGCAAGTCCACAATAGACATTAGTCATGTGGAGTAATAATTTTTATTGCAACAATTTTGCTTCTAAAGGTCACTCCTTCATTTTAAGGTCAAAGTCTCTTTAAGTGTTATTTTTTTTGTTCTTTACACCAGGGAAGTGCTTTCAAATCAGGAGACTGTAACTTTGTGCAGACGGTACTCGTCAACTCTTGACATCAGGGCGGACATTTTGATCTATCACCAATATATCCAGGCTCTTCCCAGTTGGATAAAGATTTCAAGGGGGGGAGGCAGAGAGTTATTGGTATATTTTTAATAGACAGTGGAGTGGGATAGCCTCTGAATTATAAGATTTTGTGTTTTTGTTTTCTTTACCTTCTCTGTTTTGTTTTTGTGGTGCGGCCCTGTTGTTGTGTGTCTAGCTGCATCTGACTGTCTTCACCTCTTGTGCGTTTGAAATGATAATATACTTTTACTGGTGACCAAATTTTAATTTTGCTCCGAACCACAACATTTCCTGAAATAATAAGTTAATTCCAGTTTCTGTGGCTTTTTTCATTCTAAAACTACCACCAATGCTTGTCCTTAACCCTTGTCCTAGTAGTTGGTAGCTACTGATTGACCCACAAGCAGGGCATCCTGTGGCCTTAATTGGATCAGTCTATTTAAAGGCAAAATCCACTCAACCTTAATCCACATTTTTCAAATTTAGTCTATGGAGTATAGCCAACATTCCATAACACATCTAGCTGAAGTGTGATATTTCTTAGAGTTTTCCAGATCTGTCTTTGCTCTCATTCCATCTGTTAATGAACTCTAAAAATATTTATAGTAGCCATTGCCTACTTATGAAAAGTGCAGACATTCCTTTGTTTGTTTCAACTTCATCCCCCACCATTAAGCTGTTAATGCTAAAGAACATGACCACATTTTCTCAGTTACAATTCTCATTCTCTGTGTGGTCTCTGCTCCACCTCCAGACATTGCTCACACACCTCCTAATTCTAAAAGTAGTGAGAGCTTTGATTCTGTGTACTGTAATTAACCCTAGAGGAGAATCGCTCACTTAAGCAGCACCTTGTGGTATCAGAATTGGGGATGGAGTCTGCCTCAGTCTTTTAATGGTAGATTACCAGCTAATTAGGAGCTCAGGCCACCAAAGATGTTTGAGGCACACATTACCTCTTATCTTTGGTTGACTTTAGATCCTAGGAGTCATTTCAGCTCTTAGAGTGGCTTTTCAGGATTTGTGTACAAGCGACACCTCAATTTTTGTTTTAGTTATTCTTCCTGGGATATATATCATTTGGTTCACGTACGCATTTCTTCAAAAGTCATTAAATAATTTTTTTATTTGGCTAGTGCAGTTGCCTGAAGTGTAAGTTGTTGCACACCAATTGGCAGTTAAAATCTGTCCTGCAGTGGGAGTGGCCACTCTGGGGAAATACAGCTGCCTTTCAAGTTTGTCCTGCTTGATTAAACTCGGAATCATGCCAACACAGAGTTCCTTCATGGATGCTTCTGACCTGACTTTGAACCCCTGATTTGCTTTTCCATTCCTGTTGACTTGTATGGGGAGAAAAGTTGTTCTGATGTGATCCCCTGTACAGTGGCTCTTAAAGGATAAGTGCACTTATTCTTTAGGTCTCTTTAAGGTGACCTCACCGCTCAGATGAAGGCTTTCCGACTTTCAAAGGGTCCTGCCTCCATTGACTTTACACCCCTTGGCAGAGGTCTTCTGGCCACGCCTGTGCAATACATCCCCATTGACTTTTATGGGGCCCGTCTCCCAGCAGGGAGATGGAGGTAGACAAGCCCCAAAGATGTCAACGTGGATGTTTATATCCTGTGGTGGAGGTCTTTATCTCCTGGCTGAACTTGCACAGTACAATCAACCAAGGCCGGGCCCGTTGGAGCTCGGTAAGTATTTGTGCAGCAGGCGGGAAGGTACGATGATGACACTTAGGTGGACATACAGCAAAGAGAGAATCGGGTGGGCTTTCACTAGTTGTCCAAAAAGCAGGCAAGAGCTGGGGCAGTGGCAAGGAGTTGGCAGAACTACAGGCTTTGAAAAGTGTTGACACCCTTTTTATGTTGTACAATGTGTGAGAAGGGGACAAGTGTACAATTCCTAAATATACTGTATATGTTTTCTCTATTATTGTAGCTAGCTAGAATTGTTCTATATTTCCCGCCTTCTCTGAGAGACTTCCTTTACATTATATGTACATTTTGGGACGGTGTTCAGCTGGCTAGAATTGTTCTATATTTCCCGCCTTCTCTCAGACTTCCTTTACATTATATGCACATTTGGGACGGGTGTTCAGCTATCATATTGCTGTGTTTACAGACTTTTTATTGAGTTTGATGTTGTTCCGTTGACCTAGTTTGGAGAACAGAGCCTCTTAGCAAAGCCCTGAGCACATTGGGCAACTTATATCAAACAGTCTGACAGGGAAACGTCTGTGTTGTTGTTAGTGAATCGATCCTTCCTGTCAATCATGTGAAGTGGCTGCACAAACTGTTCTCCTTCAGACATGTTTCAGGCCCTGGTGCTGGCGACCGTAACAAATGATTGTATCAGTGTGCATTACCTTCCCCAATACCCTTGATACAGAATTGTGGACATAGCATTTATCTCAGTGGAAAAGGAGGGTTCTATTTTCATAAAAAGTTGAGCTCTTTTGGCCCCAGGGGTTGACCTTTGATTGCGGTTTGGAATGGTACAATCATGGAGTAAGTCAAGGCTGCCATTTTTACCATTTTTTTTTTTATAGCTACGTCATCCACATTCTAGGGCTGCCCTGGGTGTCAAAGCTACTGTGTATCATCGAGCAATGGGCAAAATAAATGGAAATACATTGTGTGTAATGTCTGGTGTCTTCTTCTTTTTCTACATTGCCTACAATTTTTACTTGAAAGATGCTCTTACTGATGGGGGTGTTGTAAGCAGCATTGTATTTGATCTGAAATGACAGGTCACAGTTTTGCTGGGATGGATAAATAAAGAGTAGTAGTAGTAAGAGTAGTACCTTCCCTGGTTCTCAAAATACCTGAACAATGTCTGCATCCAATCAGATTGTTCAGGTATTTTGAAAGCCAGCGGAGTCACCTAGCAAGATACTGAAGCTTGGCCCAGTGAGAGATTCCTCCATCTACACAGTTTAGCATAGATGGAGGAATCTGTTCCACTTTTTCCATCTGACCATAGAAAATCTGCAGATAATCTATAGGTGTATGGCCAGCTTTACACAATGTAAAGGCCAAAGCATTTGGACACACAATCTCTGCTGAATGGGAGGAATAGGCAATCTGAACAAGGAACCACCACTTCAGGAGAGGTCATGTGACCAAGATTCTAGGTCTTCATGAATATGTCTAGTACTAAGGGAGCCTTGAAACAGCGAAAAAGTAATAGTGTGATTGTCAAATCAATATCGGCTTCTGCTTTCAGGTAAACATTACAAAAATTGCTTGCAAACATGTAGACTGCTATCTCTGACTTCTAATTCCACAAATGCTAGTTCCTTGCTATAATGCTTATCCTCTGGCTTCAATACCTGACCTGGGACAAGTACACAGAAATGGCTGCTGACTACTCTTTCTGGGTAAGAGAAGTATTTGAAGCCAGAGGGTCAACATGATAGCCAATCAACTATAACTTTCAAAGCCTGACCCTGTAATGGGCCTGTGAAAATAGAATTATGGGAGGTGCTCATCGTGGTCCCGGCTTCAATATGTAATCCTTGCCCTGGAACAAGCATATACTCAGTGATGTCTGCATTCCAGTCCTGCATGCTTGTTCCGGGTCAGTGGATCACTAGCTAGGGAACCTAGGACAAAAAAATCAAAATATGGCACAGAAATCAAATTGAAAGTCAAAAATGGTCTTCAGGTAAAGTACTACAACTTTGGCTAGAGCTACACAGGCAATTCATAGTAGCTTTACCTTGTTAGAGATTAATCACTAAACATGCTACCCAAAAAAACGTGCTATAAAACGTGAAAAAAACGAGCAGAAAAAATACGCCCAGGTGTGAACCTAGCCTTAGGGATATAAATTTTACACAAATGAATCAACACTGACAATTGTAAACACCCCCGTCAGTGTTACATGGTTTGTCTCAATCCTTTTACCTCACTTTTGCTGGCTAGCTTGGCTTGTTAAAGGAAGTTGAAAAATAACAGACTTACTGCTTTGGATCACCAGGTGAAAAAGAAGAAAAGCAAAGCTTAAAAAAAAAAACCGAATGTAGCCACCACATTTAGGGATTGGTAATCTGCACTATAATACATTTTCAGCTTTCTGTTTACATATGTTTTAAAGCAGGGGTGGGCAACTGTATGGCAAAGCACAGGTTCACTTTATTGCCACTCTCATCTGCTTGGCTCCGCTGCTGCTGTGCTCTCCTCCAAGAGCCCAGAAATATATTGGGTACTTGGAATATAGAGGAACATGTACCTGTCTACCCTTTCTCCCATGACGGAATGCTGGGTGCCTCAGTGCAGTCACATTGGGGCTAGGGGAGAGTACTTAACCCTTTGTAAAGCAGGCCATACGCTGGTAGATTTTCATTTGAACGTTTGTATGGAAATTCATTGGTGAACACTCGATCAGTTAATCACACGACAGATCTCAAATAAAGGTCCTAAAAAAAAAAGCACTATTTAATCCAATGCAAAACGGTTGTCTATTCCGTAAGAGCTGGTTCACACCAGTCACATTGGGCAGCATTTCCTAATACAGCCCCAGCTCAAAGACCAGGCAAAAAGCCTTGCTTTTGTATAGGGCCGGTATCCGCATGTTGGTATGCATTGCAAATAAATGATGCAGGCAATTTATGGCACTGCATTACAAGGCGCTGCACAGCGTCGCTACATTCTGCAATGCATAGAATTTACAATAAAAAACCCCTGAGCACTGCAATGCATTGCACCGTAGCACACAACTGTTACATGCTGTGTGGGATGAACCAGCCCTAAACTAGACCTGCTACTCAGAATTATGTCAGACGCCTTCATTGAATCACTTCATGTAACAGGATCCTTTTCTCATGGTGATAAGCAAGAGATTAGTATAAAGCAAATTTTATTTCCATTTTGACATA